AAAAAAAAACACCTCCAAACCGTCTTCTTCATCACCAGAATCTCCACTGTCATCTTCAGTGTCAGACTCTTCATCTTCACTATTATCTTCATCCTCATCCTCATCCTCATCCTCATCTTCATTGTCCGATGCTTCAATCCATTCTGATTCAGATGCCTATACAAAGTAAAATAAAACGCCACATGAAAAAGGACCACTCGTAATGGGGTTAAACATAATTCCAGAGATATAGGTAAATAGACAAACATCACTATGAAAACACAAACCTGAATGATGCACTTCCACTCATCAAGTTTGCTAAGATTAAGAGCATATAGATCATCAAGTGTAATCTCACGATCTTTAATTTCCATCATGCCCCCATAAATATATAATGTATCTTTTCCAACAGCCATACAAGAATTGATTCTCCCACATGGTTTCACTACCTGAAAACCACACTCAAATCAGTTAACATTATATCCATAAACTGCAAACTAAATTCAAGGAATCGCAATTATATTAAATTAGCAGTCAAGAGATTCACAACGACAAACCTCTGGTAGAACAGAATTTTGCACTGCAAATTTCTTGCCAAATCCAGAACCTTTGTCTCTATCAGTAACTGTTACATTTATGTTCATATTAACAGAGATATCTTTTATGTCACTGTCTATGTCGGCATCATCATTATCAGAAGTTTCATCTTCATCAGATGAAACAGCATTTTGCATTAGTGGTTTCCTGCTTTCAAGATTCATATCACTGCCCATTCCATCGGAAGCCTTCTTTAACTGAAAAGCCGTTTAAAACAGGAAACATATGAGTTGATCGCATGAAACTACGCAACATTAAAAGGAAGAAAGAGTTTTATATACAGCTACACGTACAACTTATTTGAAACAGACCGAAAATGTGAAGTTTAACAATAAGACTTTGACAATTCAGTTAAAAAGCTACCAAATTGGAATACAGTAACTGTACGGACTGAGTACCTTTTCCTTTGTCACCTTCTCCTTTCGCAGTTCCAATGGATACCTTTCAAAACAAATAATAATCTTCATTGATTATAAGAACTATTCACCATAGTCAAAGGGTAGTAGAAGAAAGAACAATACAAATAGTGAAAGGCCTAGAAAACTACACGGCTGGAATGAAGAGATACAAGTCCCAAGTGCCACTTTTCTTAAATCAGTGTACACAGAAAGACGAAGAACGAGTTAATAAATATAAGAAGTTATATTTGTCCGACATCGATTAGTTACTGGGTCGCTATAGTGTACAAGTGTGGGCTGGACACCCTCTCCCTTTGAGTTGCCTTTTCGGATGAGTTTTGCCCAGGCCCATTAATCATGGTATTAGAGCACCCAAGTTAATTTGTTCGGAGGCAATTTAGGTTTGGACCCGGCCCATTTGGTTTGGCACGCTACATGTGAGGGGCTGGTGTTAGAACTTATATTTGTTCCACATCCCAACCCACACGTATACAAAATAAGAGCCTAGTGAGTAATTGATGTTGGGCAAACATATACTTCTACCATCCCTTCTCACACATAGCATGCTAACCCGAATGGGTGGTGCGAAACCCAATACCGCCTTCAAACAAACTAACCTGGGTGCTCTAATCCCATGACAGGGCCCGAGTAAAACTCATCCCAAAAAGCTAGCTCAAAGGTAGATGGTGCTCAATCCACACTTGTACAAGGAAAAGGTGTCGAATCCATACTTAATACATAATAATGGCTAAGTAACTAATTTATGAGGGACAAACACAACTTCTAACAATAAACAAACAATTCCAGAATCACTATAGTTCATCGGCTTTTCACGAACCACATACTTCCTCATTTCCTTTAGTAACTGTGATTATATCAAATTCTATAGAAACCCACACCACAGGAAAAGGGAATAGAAAAGACAATTTAGTACAGATAAACATGTTACAAGGAAAATTGAATGTTATTTGATAAGAAAAACTAAAGACATGCAGCGTGAAAAAAAAAAAATTACCAGCAATGATTGTCTAATTGGAAGCCATAAATCTCATTCAAGAACAAGCTCATCATTAGGTCACCTGCAGAGGACCTTGGGTCAGAACTTCAGCAGGACCTCAACATAGCAAAAAACAACGGAGTAGTATACTCAGCTTTCGGATTACTACAAGAAAATGAATAAATGAGGAACAAGATGTGACCAATAGAACAAAAGCAAAGGCAACATAATTATCTACGGTTGACCAGCCCTCCTATCCTTTATCAAAGTCAAAGGGTGCAATTTCATTCTCTTCCTCATCTCATATCAGAGACTTCCTTTGCCAATCTGATTAGCGACTCCAAAGTACAAGAAACGACAACTTTAATTTGGTATCCATACAAAGATTTTAAACTGCTACACCTCATCATGGGACAAATTATAATGAGATTAAATATCCACTTTATAAAAAGAAGTGAGCTGAATTTAGTTAGTGGACACATAAATGAAAATTAGCTAGTACAAGAGTGACCTTCCATTTCCATATCCACCACTCCACCAAAGAGCAAGGCCCTCTTTTTATGTACAGCCATTGAGAAACCAGCACGAGGTCCAGGAGGCATCCCACTTTTCTTGACCTTTTACATAAATAAATAGTAAGTTAACTGATTGTAGATAATGGGAGTCGTCTTGTAAGGAGCACAAATAATTCAATAATTAGCAAAGAAAGAGTCACAATAAAGAATTAGCATATATATTAATCTAATAAAATACCTTAAGGAGCAACAGTGCCAGCAGTAGCATCTTTTGAGGTCTCAAATAACTATACTGATTACCTATTTCCGTGAAACCCCATAAACTAATAAAATTGCCACTAACTCTCCATTAACATTTTATCATCTAACAGAATTAATCACATGCTTTATCTAAGCAATTGTTAAGTTCATTCAAGGAAATCCTGGCTTTATTATTTTTGAATAATCGCCTCATGGATAAACTAAATTAATAAATCATTATACTTTAAAATTGAAATTTTCGAGAAGGAAAGGGAAAGAAAAATGGAAACTAGAAACGTAGACCAAACTGACCAGGAATTGGGAACTAGTCATTTCCAGGATCCACTACTCTATGACTTAACAAATGAGACGGAACTGAACCAAACTGCAACTACAATAGCACGAAAGATTTAGCAAATAAGAACTCCTTTTATCAGCTTTTCTTGTGTCATGATGACGAGAAGAACAATCAACATGACTACCACAAAGAAAGGAAATTTTATCCATAAGAATCATGATAACAATGCCACTAAATAACAAAAGAAAAAGAAAAAAGGCTTATCCATGACATAACAACAGTAAGTAGCTAAAAAAACATAAATAGTTAAATACCTTACTCCACTCCCAAGTTCTAGGATCAAGACACCACATGTCTGAATGAACAATTCCTTTCTCGGATACTTTTTTATCGGATGATGTGAGTTCTTTTGAATAACCACCATATAAATAAATCTGAAATAAAATATTAATAAATGAGACAACTGTGAGAACACGTATCCAGTGTTATTATAGTTGAGTGTACTGTTTAAGATTTTATGATTAAAATTTTCATATCATTTTTAGTAGTATTAAGGATATTAGATGCCAATACAGGGTTAAACATGTTAATATCCATAATGAATAATGCAATTTTCATTCCCTACCTCATCTTGGTGAACAACAAACTGGAAACCACTTCGAGGACTTGGCCACATGCACCCTGGTCTAGGTTTTATCTCTTGCCACTACAATGAAAGAAATTATTGTTCAAGCTTTAACAGTCTATAAGTGAAAGCACCAATAAACATTGGCAAAGTATACAATCATCAGCATACCATACCTTAAACTGATCCAGGTCAAATACGTGCAAATCATTGAAATACCTGCATCAGTATAATATTTAGGTGGTAGAAAAGAACTAGAAAAAAACAAGTACAAACTGCACCTCAGGATAAATTATGAACTGGGTACCTCACCCTCTTTGCACCCCAGAAACTTGGATCCTATAAAACTACAAGGATGCACCTAAACCTAGCCAGTTTTATTACTAAGCTCCAAAATGTGCAACTTTCTAGTAACTGCATATCTCCATATTGTTAGAACACCCCAAAGGTGTGTAAAAACTTTAGCCACGTCAGTGATAAAAAGGTGTGAGGCGCCCACAAAGGCGACAGGCCTATTATTTGCCAAGGGGTAAGGCGCGAGGCAAGGCAAGCCAACATGCAAAAATAAAGATTTATAGACAATGAACAAATTACATATATCTAGGTTAAAAAAAAAAAAAACCCAGAGAAACACTTTTTCCAGACAAAAAAGAGCCATAGTCTTTGGTTATGATGGCTATTTTTGAGCTACTGTTGTCCCACCCACTCGTCATATCATAAAATTTTATTTACAAGAGAAAATGGGCAAAATCACTCACTCATATAGAATGTTATTAGAATAAATACAAGAAGTTGAGAGAGGGGGGCAAAAGAAAATAAAGAAGGAACAGGACGTGAAAAGAAATAGTTTCACTCTCAGCCGGTTGGTCTCCAAACCGCCGGGACCAGGACACTGGGCTCGGATGAAGGTAAAACAAAAGCCAATAGAGAGTTTGGTTGCGGCACAGAGGTGTAAATGAGATATAGTTATGAAAAAACCCTAAACAATGCCCTAAAACTAGGATTAGTGCCTCGATTAATTAAGGTGAGGGCCTTGGCATTGCCTTTCGCAAGTGAACCTTGCCACACCCATTCGAGGCTCCCAGGCCTTGCCTCGCCATGCCTTACTCCATGGAACAGACGTTTTTAATTATTGGTTTAATTAAAAAAGACAACAGACATCCTTGGAAAAACTTTTCTATGCTTTCAAAATTCAATATTCAACTTCAAGATGTGCCAAGAATATCATCTTTAACAGGCACTATCTTGGCGATTAGCTATGGCAGTTTCTCAAACAAAATCTTAACATCAACTAATCAAAGCATCAAATATGTAGATCTTAATTTAAGAAATGATCCATCAGATTATGCCCCCATTCTCTGCAATTAAACGGAAGTTGTTACCACTGTTCGGCAAATTAAGTACAAAAGATAGGGCACTAAATTATTTGGATTCTACCTTTGGGCAACTCTCTCTCTCTACTACATAACCTCCTCCCCCACAAGTACCAACTACCAACATTATGAGTCAATCATATCCAATCTTATGGATAAATTCTGCATAAAATTATGGATAACAACATTTTTGGACTGGCTCTCCAGCTAAATACTTTTTCCATCTTTACCCTTAAACTCTCATTTAATCAAACAAGTATACTGAATTTCTAAAAATGGTGGGGAGCATCTTATAGCACAACAAAGCGATATAGTTGAAAACCAGAACACATACAGGCAAAAAACCAGAACCCACCTTACTTCCCTAAGAGTGTCATAGAAGCCTCCAAAAATAACAATCTTGTGCTTGTACAGGACCTTCAAAGTTTTGAAAGTTGAACCATAAGAATTCATAGCTCAAAGAGACATAAGAATGGAAGATTGGGGGAAATAATAAAGAAAAAAAAAACAAAGAAAATAAATTACAAACAACAATCATCACAAGAGTATGCCCAACACCCAGACACAAACTATAACACAAAAAGATCATGGGAGGGAAATAAAAGAATAACACAAATAAAAAAAAAAAATTGAAAGAAAAAGTAAACAGAGAAGTCTATACTAGTTTAAACACTCATGATTGAAGGAATAAAAAAGTAACACACAAATGGGATAAGAAATTCTTAATATAAGGCGTAAAAGAAGTTGAGATGATACATAGCACATCTAAGAGAAAGCAAGCAGCACAATAGATTGAGATGCAACTGATTCAAATTGGAAATGTCTACCATTCCACAATGAAAACATGCCCATAAAATTTTTATTTTCACCACCACTGCTTTCATGACTCAAAGGCAGTGTTATCAAATTGGCGCCATGGCAGAATGGGTAGCGGATTTTGGCTGATCCGCCATATGTGGCCGCCTTTTGCAGTTTTGCCATGGCCGCCGCATGGCAGTCATGGCGTGAATAGTAGCCATTTTATGGCAACAAAATGGAACTAGAAATCAGTTGGTCTGACCCAATTTCACTTTAGTTACCCAAATTTCTGGAAATAAAAGAAATAACAAAATAGGGGATGAGGGATTGAGGAAGTATCAGACTAAAAAAACATAGTTTTTGAGGGACAGAGAAAGCAATCCTCCATGCAGAGGTGGCGACCCTGCCTCCGGGAACCTCGAGTAGCCAAATTTTATTTTTTATTTTTTTATTTTTTTATTTTTTTTCGGTTCCTGAAGGCTGACAGAGTTTGGAACTATGGAAACTTTCTTATTCTATGTTTTTTAATTTTTGGTTAAATGTTTCATTGGTTGGGCCAACAGTTGAACCGGTATTTTTTTATTGATTTTTTAAATATTATAAAATAATTTCAAATAACTTTTATATATAAAAACATTAATTAAATATTTAGATAACTTAAAACATGAAAATGCCTAAAATAATTGATATAATAATTTATATACACCCAAATTCTAAAATATTTTAATATGTAATTTTATATTAAAAATATTTATACTAATTTATTAAAAAATCTAAAAAGTAAACCGGCCGACCAGCTGGTTTTTGACTGGTTTTTATATGTTTGACCAGTCCAAGACCAATTCTTTCGTATCCGGTTTTCTCAAAGAGGACCGGACTGGTCACAGCTATGGTTTTATTTTAATAAGAAAAAAAGGAGTATCTGCTATTTCAGAAAATGTCAGACGGGAAGATCAGGATCTCTTCACGGTCTATTTCTAGGTCTAGTAAAACAATGTGATGTTTCCGAAAGATATAAACATAGTTGTTATATATATACGGTCATATTTTGTGTAGATATGCATAAAATAAATATTCTTGGGTCAGCCATGACTTCCGTCATTTTCCGCACGACATCTGCCTTAGATATATGGAGGTAAACATCTATTTCAACCATCCATCCTCCAATATAGCATGCCAAACCAAAAGGGTCAGGCCAAACCAAACAACATTTATCCAACATCATCTCCAAATAAACAAACTTGGATTGGAAAGAACTCATCCACAAAAGCTAGCCCACATGGAGAGGGTGTCCAACCCACACTTATACACAATAACAACCCAATAACGAACTGATTTTGGACAAACATACACTTCAAACAATTAAAAATAGTTGTATTCTTGTAAATCAATGTTGTTACTTGCAGATGGCGGTAAATGGCGGCAGGAAAAAATGGGCCACCATGGAGGCCTATGGCGCCGCCATAATCGCCATCCTTCACAAATTTAGCATGGTGGTTTGTCAAAATCATCCATGGCCGCCATTTGATAACACTGTTGTATATTAAGTAGACAACAATGCAGCAGACAACTATGCTTACCAATCAATAAGAAAGCAATAAGGCTACCTAAACACTTTTTTTAGAGAATTGTATAAATGGTGATATGGTGAATGCTAGTGGAGCTCCTAAGAGAGACAGAAAGTCTCATTGCTTTCTTTAAAACATATCCAAAGAGGGGAAAGGGTGGTAAGAATCAAACCTCTGACTTTGATTGGAATTGAGACTCATAACCATTTCACCATCCGATCTCCCACAAAATTTTATTGCTAAGAGAGAAGAATCCATATCATCAACGAATGCGTCATCATAAGAATCGCTCAAATATTAATTTGATCAACACCCCTCCCATAAAGGTTTTAGACGCCCAGATGATATTCAAATTGAATTTGCCATTGATTATCAGAAAACGTTAACAAGAAAGCTAGTTTCTATGTGTTAACACCATAATTGAAAAACCTCTTGCCAAGTTGAACTATGTAATTTGGGAGCTTGATAACATTAAAGTGTTTATTCCAATCGAGATGAACCTCATGGAACTTACTCATAAACCTTATTAATTCCTAAAACTGTTCGTAGTTCAGCACTTCGACTAAGCATTATAAGTGGAGATAAAAGATTTCCTATCTAACTTAATCGCCATTTAAAATATTTAATCAAATTCCACAATTCTCTCTGAATAATTAAAACGATACATAAAAGTTACATGTACTATGATATAGCTCTTGCTAGCAGGACCAAAACTGGTAGGGAGAAGGTGCCTCACTCTAAGGTAATCACCTATGGGCCCCTTTCCCCATTTGTCCTCCCATTTAATAGATCTCACACTATTTGCACAAAAATTTAGACCAAAGATTACTTCAAGAAAATGCCCAAGTTTTACCATCCTCAGTGCACACCTAGTAGAATAAGATCAGCTGATGCCAATATGATTACTTTTGAGCATCAAGGGCATTAATCTTACATTAATAACAATGCATTACTTTAACATGATATTTTTTTCACCAAAAACATTTAAGTCTTGACAGAGAGCTAACTTACCATACGATGACCTGAGCGTGGACTTGGACAACTTTTATAGTTCAACTGTTCCCACTGGTTTGTTTTCAGATCCAGCACCCAAAAGTCCTACAAACAATTTTCACAATTGTTAGCTCATCTTTGCACAACCTTCATTTGTGTCCGAACGAAGTACAGAAATTCAAATGGGGCATGGCTGAGTGGTAAGGCAACGGGTTTTGGTCCAGCAAGTCGAAGGTTCGAATTATTTCGTCCCAGCACATACCTTGTAGTGGTGGAAACGCTCTTGATTTGGAGATGTGAATTCTCCACCTGATAGCATGGTAAGAGAAAATGTTACCCCCACATTTATTGAACAATAACCCAAGTTTGATCAGTCTAATGTTTCACCATAAATATAGAGATAATTTTTCCAGGCAACCGCCTGATGAGCACTTCGAGGAGGCGGACTGTTGGGGCTTGAGATTAATTTCCACTCTTGTTTTTCAACATCATACCGGTATAAATCACCATATACAAATGTCTGCATAAAGCAAGATACATCTCAGAATCAGTAATTCCAAAACAAGAGATTCCTGTTCTTTTCACCATTTCTTTTGCTACAAAAGAAAAATACTCCCTCCCTCCCAATTTTTGAGCCCCACAACCTCATTTATTTCTTGTCCTAAGATTATAGTCACTTTTCTTAGTTCGTGGTATGATAAATTAATTGTTTTCTTGTTATACCGAAATTCAGTGAGATTCTATGATGTTTTCAAGGTAAGCCAAAATTGAAGTTTATTATTTGTGTAAATTAGGGTGTAATTATAAAATTGAGTACTTTTTAGGATTTTACGATGTTAAATATATGTGTTGCCTTAATCTGAGTGAAAATAAGAAAAGGGACTATTGGAATGGATGGGTTTTTACTTCATTTATGCACTTCAATATCATGCGGGCTCACCTCACCAAAATTTTAGCCACCATATCCCATGATCCTCAGGCAAGCTAGTATTACACACTAGGATGTAATAATTTATAAAAAAATGTGAGGACATGGTTGTGGTACTTATTTCACAATTTTTAAGGGTAAGTTAAATTTATATAGTCGGGGGAAAGGATGTGGTCCCATAAGGGTGAAGCACACCTAAGAGGGCGAGTCTCGTTGCCACCTTAGTGAGGTTCCATCCCAAAAATAAATGGTAATGGAAGGGGTGGCCCACTAGGGTAATGTTTGGTAAAGCTAACTGATAAGCTAGCTTATAACTTTTAACTGAATTTTCAACTTGATAGTTGATAGCTTATGACTTATGGTTGAAAAGCTAACTTATATGATAAAAGTGTTTGATAATTTAGCTGATAAGCTAGCTGAAATAAAAATTTCAATGGACTTATTTGAAAAGCTACCCAAGGAAGCTTATGAGATAAGCTCGAGTTTTTTAAAAAAGTTCGTCCTACCAAACCAAGTTTATTTGAATACAAGAAACTTATAAGCTAGTCAAATAAGCTATAAGCTAACTTATATGCTCACCAAACACAGTCTAGGCTTATAAACTAAGCCCATTTGCCCTACAGAATCAATGTGGACAACACGGTAGTTAGGAATATGATGTGGCATGTTTCCCACCTCCCAATTAATTTATGTTTCTGCAAGGGTTTTTTGGTCTCATTTTGTAGTTTTGAATTTTCCAAATTAAGAAAAAATAAATATCGCTACAAAAGCGCACGGCTCAAGCAATCATTCAACTTTAGCAAAGTGTAGATAAAGATATACACTCGTTTTTAGGATAAAAAACTACTGTGATGGGAAAAGATTTTTTATTTTTTCAGCTCAAGAGGCGGTGTTTGAACATTAATCAATGAGGGTATGAACCACCAGTTTTACATGCTAGAAGAATAGTCTAACCTAGTATCGTTCAAAACCAACTAATTTAGACATCTAACTCAAGTAACTGATTCAATATTCGGTTTACTAAGCACAAGGTTCAGTTCTAAGAAACAAGAAATCGAAAGGAAGACAAATAAGAAACAAGAAATCAAAAGGAAGACAACTAACCCTTTTCCCATTGTAAAATTCACCTCCATAGAGGATTAATTCTGTATCTTTCAATGGATTGACTGTCAGCTGCACAAAAAAAGGTGATCATAGCTGACTTATATTCAAACTACTACAAACAGAATCACCACTATAGCTAATACCGTACCGAGCAATTGGATCTTGGAGATGGGGCTGGGACGTTATCTTCTACATGCACTTCCTTCTTTTTTGCTTCCTCTTTTTGTATGCTCAACTGCATCAAACAATGAGATACGCAAATGCTCCTTGTACAACAAGAGGAATGTAATTTCTAAATAAAGAATCAATTCAGGGGCCTATATTTCCCGCCAGAACACGTGAATTGCACTCCAAAAAACATTTTAAAAAAAGCGCATGTATCTGAATAAACATTCAATCAGTTTATAATTCGAGCATTTGGCAAGGAATTCGACAATAGGAATACCAAAATTGCATCGATGTCGTCTTCGGGAGAGAGCTTCTTGGACTCCCGGCGAGCCCTTTTTTCTTCGGCTTTTGCGGTTTTCTTTTCCGTTTTCTCTTTTCCCTTACCAGCTTTCTTCGTTTTCTTTCCCATTTCCTACTTTTCAGCTGCCGCTGTTTGTAGTTTCGCACTGTGCGGGCGACTGAGTTCTGCTGAAGTTGAAATCGGAAGGGCCTCGCTATTAGCGACTCACTTTTATATATGGGGCAATAGCATGATACTTGCGTTTTGAAATCGGGTTTTCACGGACCAGTTCAACTCGGTTCAGGGCCGATAGCCTTCCGGCCCGGTCGATTTTTATTTAAAAAACATTGAGGGGGCGATTGGATACCAACTAGAATTAAATTTTATCTAGTTTTTGACTGGTAAATATGGAGTGTAAACTAGTATTTTACTAGATATATTTTCTCATGTTGCACATATTATAATTATTTATACCTGCAATTACAGTAGCTGTCGGCTACATCCCACAATCTATTGTTAAGGTTTTTTTTTTAATTTTTTTTTTAAACAAACGATAAAAAAAAAAAAGAAATCTCCATCCACGTGACTTTCCCTTGCATTTCATTTTTACCAGTTATGATTTTTTTGCCTCCCCGAGAAGGTAACCATTATTTTATTAATTTTTTTTGTATTATTTGTGATTGGTGTTTCTTTCTACATTCATACTAATGTAATGTAATATAAAATACACACAACCTTTGTTCAACCAATAAAACAAAAACAAAAAACGTTGGGCGATATATGATCCATAATAATATTTTATTTCCAGTGCTATACTATAGCATTATTTATTTGAAATATGAAATAGTAGTACACACAATGGAAATCAAAATTCGTTCGACCATGAAAGAAACACAATGGAGATTACAAGCATAATGACAAAAATGTCATTTTATTTTAATAAAATAGTTGGAATTTATATAACGCAACAATTGTCACAATTTCCCCAGTACAATCTTGCGACAGCAATCTCAATTTCCTCTCCTTCTTCTTTGCGCTGCCATACGTCTTTCTTCGGCCCAATAGTCACGAACAAGTTGGTCAATTTTGCGAAGGTTACTTTCACCTTTCGCCTTCGTTTCACCAGGATATGGGTCAAGCTGTAGGGGTTCGAAAATTATCTTCAACGTGTCCCATAAAGGCTCAGGATTGTTGCTACAATAATGATATGCTAATGCCCAAACCTTATAGCATATGATATACTCGAATTACACAATGAAGAATGTACTTTTATCATTTTATTACATAACAACTGGAGTTAAGAAAATGTTTACGTACCTCAAGTGCTTCCTCCCGAATGTCCTCGTCAAGATAGATGGTTTTTGCGTGTATATCGAAAACACCC